GACCGCGGCGGACAGGGCGACCGCCCGGCTCGGTGGCGCCCGGCGACCGCCCGGCTCGGTGGCGTCCGGCGACCGCTCGGCGGCGTCCGGCGACCGCTTGGCTCGGTGGCGTCCGGTGACCGCTCGGCGGCGTCCGGCGACCGCTCGGCGGCGTCCGGCGACCGCTCGGCTCGGTGGCGTCCGGCGACCGCGCGGCTCGGTGGCGTCCAGGGGCCGCTCGGCTCGGTGGCGTCCGGCGACCGCGCGGCTCGGTGGCGTCCAGGGGCCGCTCGGCTCGGTGGCGTCCGGCGACCGCCCGGCTCGGTGGCGTCCGGCGACCGCTCGGTGGCGTCCGGCGACCGCTTGGCTCGGTGGCGTCCGGTGACCGCTCGGCGGCGTCCGGCGACCGCTCGGCGGCGTCCGGGGACCGCTCGGCTCGGTGGCGTCCAGGGACCGCTCGGCTCGGTGGCGTCCGGGGACCGCTCGGTGGCGTCCGGGGACCGCTCGGCTCGGTGGCGTCCGGGGACCGCTCGGCTCCGTGGCGTCCGGGGACCGCTCGGCTCCGTGGCGCCCGGCGACCGCTCGGCTCCGTGGTGTCCGGGGACCGCTCGGCTCGGTGGCGTCCGGGAGCCGCTCGGCTCGGTGGCGTCCGGGAGCCGCTCGGCTCGGTGGCGTCCGGGAGCCGCTCGGCTCGGTGGCGTCCGGCGACCGCTCGGCTCGGTGGCGTCCGGCGACCACTCGGCTCGGTGGCGTCCGGGGACCGCTCGGCTCCGTGGCGTCCGGGGACCGCTCGGCTCGATGGCGTCCGGGGACCGCTCGGCTCGGTGGCGTCCGGGGACCGCTCGGCTCGGTGGCGTCCAGGGGCCGCTCGGCTCGGTGGCGTCCGGGGACCGCTCGGCTCCGTGGCGTCCGGGGACCGCTCGGCTCGGTGGCGTCCGGCGACCGCTCGGTGCTGTCCGGCGACCGCTCGGCGGCGTCCGGCGACCGCTCGGTGGCGTCCGGTGACCGCTCCGTGGCGTCCGGCGGCCGCTCGGTGGTCCGGCGACCGGTCGGCTCGGTGGCGTCCGGGGACCGCTCGGCCGGCCTAGACACCACCGAGCAGATGTATTTTGACCAGGCTTAAAAAGGCAGCGTACCCGTACAGGAGTTTGCCAGCATGGCATCGGAGCGAGTCTCACTTTGCCACACCTCAGAATAGATATTTGCGGACGGTTTGGAGGGTCTTGCTGGCACAGGCTGTGCCTTCGTTTGCGGAGACTCGAAGCAAGGCTTCTGCCTACCACAGCACCGATCAGTGCTCTTCACTGAGGCTTTCGTCATCCTGACGTCGTTGCAATCCATCCAATGTCGTACGGAACGTGACTGTCCGATATCGGTTTACTCACTCATCGCCCTTTTATCATTAGACCCAACCTCAGTATCTCGTTACCACCGGCGCGTCATACGATCTGTTAGGGGTGAATTTTTGAAATTGAGGGGATTACACGTTTCTGGGATATCCCAGCAACCAGGAAATAAAGTACGTCCAGACTGGCATGCTTTGATAGGCGATTTAGTGGGCAGTCACTCGAGCGTGTACAAGGTGATGCTGCACGTGTCATGTGGCAGGTGCACGTTAGCTATAAATATTGTGTTGCCATTTTCGTCGATATTTACGCTTTACGCAAGATTGCCGCTCATATGGGACGTGGTGACACGGGACTGGCACGCTGCGATAAACCATTGAATGGGAAATCCCGTGGTGTCTCAAGCGCGCCGTGGCACGTTACACGTGTCGGCCGCACACGAGCCAGGCAAATGGCTTTCGCTCTCTTCCACAGGCTTACATGCTTTGTGCCACATCTCGGCGCCCAGGGCACGGACACATTCGGGAGTAGCATGCATTAATAGCGAATCGAAAGGGCAATCGCTTGGTATAAATTGTCAGGCTGCACGTGCTGTGTGTCACGCGCGCACGAGCCACGTTTTGCATCCCGGTATCCGGAGCAACTAAAAGCATCAATCAAACTGCAAAAGGCAGATAATTCAAAATTCTACGCTTCTCACTAAGCAAAGCGAATCAAGCGTATAAACGCTTGTTACAACTAATTCTTCTGATCTTGGGAGAGGCATGGACGTCAGATTGAGGACACGCCTTTTTACTACAGAACTTGCTTTACGGGATAGTTTTTCACGCTCGGATTAAATTTTTTGATTCCTTACTTATAAGGACGTCAGCATACTTCTTATGTTGACTTCATGCAGGTCAGGAGGCCGCCGACATAAAATAATCCCAATCAACATTTTGCTTTGATGAACATGCCTCCAAGGTTATTAATTGACGCTGATTTTCAGTTCCGATATCAGAGCAGTCTCGGAGGTGTTATCCATTTGGCGCTCCAAGGATGAGATTAGGTCACTGACCTGATATGAGGCCGAACGAACTTTTGCTTAACAAAAGACCGGGGCTAAAGCTGGTTGCATGAAGAAGTCTGAAGGTACTTCGGACGCTGATCCCAAGGTTGACTTTGCTTGACCCTATTCGACCAGAAGGTCACAACCTAGAGACCTCAAACTTTGACAGAAATGAGTCCACCTAGAGATCTACGTGCCCTGTAAATTGCATGTGTATCTCTAAGTTGTTTACACATCTCGTGTCAAATTGGACCCCCGCACCCGCACGCGCCGTATTCGCCCGGCCACCGGGGCGCGTGAGAATCAGTTGGCGAGGTCCGGCACCGGCCCCCCGGGGGGCGGCGCCGCCTCCGCCGGCGACGCCGGGCGGCGCCAGTCCTGTGAACGTCTTGATTATAGCCTTCTGACGCCGGTGCAGGCACAGCACGCCGTCGCCGCGGCAATCTCTGCGCCGACCGGCACCTCACTGAGGCGCGCCACAATCTTTGCCCGCCTTCAGGGAGTGCGGCGTTAATTTCCGCGCCGCGGATGCAGCTGTGCCGGCTTGGGAATGGCTGATGACATGGCAACCGAACGGCACATCACAACGAAGCAAACCCTCGTGCCGTATGACAGCGCACCTGCGCCGCCCCGAAGCCTCCTCGCCAGGGCGGCGGCGTGTCGGTGCGCTCCACACTGGCCGCGGCCGGCGGCATCTGCAGCTGCCGCGACAGTGGCCAGCATTCCCACGGTGCTCATTTTGTTGTTGGGGACGGCTGCTCAAAACGGACGGCAGGCGGCTGTCCGCTTGCCGGCGGTTAATGAGCTCCGAACGACATGGTCATTGTTCCGGCATGTTTGTAGCATGTGATCACCCGTGTTAAGTTGGCGAACATTCCGAAAAGGCCGCTGGATGAAGTTTTGGAAATGTCAGGCCGTGCTCACGATGGCGGCTTGCGCTGCTTTTGTTCTTTTCGGCGCGTCACGGGTGTGACCATCCGCACCTGCTTACCGCCGGCGCTGGCACACTGCCGGCGCAGTGTGCTGGCAGTCTGGGTTGAGGTCTCAGACGATGGGCGTCCCCCCCCCCCTGTTTTGTGCCACTTTGTTATACATGCAGTCGAGCCAGTTGCCAGACGTCAGTTCGATTTTCAGGTCGTGGTTGAGGCAGCTTACTGCCCCTCCCCCTCCCCCCACAACCGGTGTGACGGGGCGGGCCTTTTTGCGTGCGTGCGTACGTGCATGCGTGCGTGTGTGTACCACCCCAGTGACACGTGACCTGGCGTTTCAGGCGGCGAGGGATCGAAGAGTCGGCCGCAGGCGCGTCCAGTCCAGGTCCCCGTCACCTATCTCAGCCGGCGCCCGTTTCCGCCGGGCGGCGCCCAGGCCACGTCAGGCGGTACCTCCGCGTGGCAGTGGTCCGACCCGGCGGCTGCAGCCGGCACAGCGCCGCAGCCACCACCCGGCGCAGCGCCGCAGCCACCACCCGGCGCAGCGTCGCAGCCACCGTCCGGCGCAGCGCCGCAGCCACCGTCCGGCGCAGCGCCGCAGCAGCAGGTCTGCCCTCCGACAGCGCAGCCACACGACTCTCAGGCACGGCAGCTGTCCAGCCGCCCAGGCCAAGAGCTAGCCGGCGCCCTGGCACGGCAGCAAGCCAGCACAGCTTCACACAAGCAGGCCAGCACCGCTGCCCAGCAGCAGGCCAGAACCGCATCTCAGCAGCTGCCGGGAGTAGCGTCGCATGGCGGCAGCACGAGCGGCAAGTGGTCTCAGCCAACGTCTACCCTCGGTCCCGGCCCCGGTCCCTGGCCCGGCTCCCTGGCCAGCAGGAGCGCGAGGCCGCCGCGGACTTACACCCGCCGCCGGCCGCCGGCGCCGCCTGCCCCGTAGCGTTGCCCTCCGGCGGGTCGTCTGATAGCGCGGGCGAGCGGCGCTCTGAACTGTGGCCGGTGTGTGGCGATGACGTGGGCCGCGGCGGCCGGGCCGGCACGCACGCGACCCTGGGGCGGGGCCACGGCGGCGGGAACATGGGCTGTGCCGCGGTGCCGTCCGCGCCTCCTTTCAGCCCGCGATGGCCGGTGCACGGACTGCACGGTCAGAGCTGTGGGCCCGCGCCGATCGTTCTGTTTTCCGGCTTGCGTGAATGTTTGGTTTTTGCCAGTCAGTTTTGACAATACATTAGCAAATTGGTGCTGCGGGTTTTGCGTGTTGGCTGTTGGAGATGACTTGCCAGCGGTCCTGTATAGCGGCTCGTGGTGCGGAAGCATTCGAAGACTGAGAACGACTCCGCCTGAACACTTGCCGACTGTTGTGTAAAACACCTGTTGTGAAGAAGATCATTTATTTACGACGACCCAGATAAACAGATTATGAATAAGTATTCAGTAGCGTCTGTAAATGGCACTAACTGGGAATGTCTACCTGGCTACTTACGGGAATGCACAGTTGGCCACAGAAATGGGCCTCTATGCGCAGTGCGTTTTGCGTACAGTGAATTCCCTCCTTTCGTAGTATCCCTCAACACCGCGCTGCTCCGTTTGCATCGAGTCTGAGAAGTGAGCTCTGGGCGCTTGACTGCTGTGTAAGCAGCGATACTCTGGCGCCGCCAGAGGGATGGCGGCTGTCGTGGTGAGCGCGCTAGTCACATCCTGTCCCTGCTACACACGGCGCGTCGCGCCGGGTACAGCGGTCGGGAAGTGATGTAGTGAGCTCACTAGTCACATGCTGTCCCTGCTACACACGGCGCGTCACACCGGGTACAGCGGTCGGGAAGTGACGTAGTGAGCTCACTAATCACGTGCTGTCCCTGCTACACACGGCGCGTCACACCGGGTACAGCGGTCGATAAGTGATGTAGTGGGCTCACTGGTCACATGCTGTCCCTGCTCCGCACGGCGTGTCACATCGGGTACAGCGGCCAGGGAGTGACGTGTCCGTCTCAGAGTGAGCGCACCAGTCACAACGGCGTGTCACACCTGACACAGCGGCCCGGGAGTGACGTGATGAACGCACCAGCCACGTGCTGTCTCTGATCCACGCGGCGCATCACACCTGACACAGCGGGCGGCCAGCCGACGCTGTGACGCTCGGGCGGCAAGCGGTCTGGAGTGGCGAGTCTCCGTCCCAGTCCCCGGAGCCCGCCGGGCTGATATGGTGGCACACTTCCTCAGCGCCGCAGCAGACATCCACCCGGGGCAACGCGGGCGGCGGCATCATTCGGATCACACTTTGCTATTGATATGCAAAATGAGATGTCCCCGAACAGACGCATCTTGTAATCTGAGATTTCCCTGCCTAATCGCGCTTCAGAATGCGTTGGCTATCTGTTTTGCACGGCGGTCGCTGCGGGAATCAATTTAAAACGATGGTCTGCGCTGGCGTATGATAAACGAGTTATTCCCGGCCTCAAGCGCCATCCTGACTCCCAATTTATCTCCCCGCGTTCATGGCCAAATGCAATGTTCAGCACGCGACGTCTCTTTGAATAACTAACACCAACTCCACCTCGATAATCAAGATCGAGAAAGATCACGTCGAACTGCGACCACGCCGTCACGACCATTTTAAGCGCGGGCTCCGGTCCACCGGCGGCACCGGGCCGCACACGGCTGGGCCAGGAGTTCACCGCCGGGGGTGCCGGCTCCCGAGGAGCACCGCCCGGGGCTGCGCTCGAAAACCATATCACAGCGGTCATGGCCGCCGGCTCCGGTGGCACGGGTGGCGGGAGCGGCGCGGAGTGCACGTTCGGGCCTACTGGGGAGGGGAGGGATCAGAGGAGCTGCTGCCGCGCCGGCCGGAGCCGGGCCGGCCTTGCGCTCTCTCCCGCACGGTCGGAGGGTGGGGAGACACATCACCGGCCGCGCTCACGCGCCAGATCGGCTGATGCGACCGACGCGAGGGGAGGGGAGCGCGCCTGACTCCACGGCGTGCTCCAGAGTACCGGTCTCGTCCCGGGCCCGCCGGGCCGCACCAGCCACTATCGTCCGGAGCGCACGGCGTGCATAGCGGAGCAGTGCTGAGCGCTTTCATGGCGGGGCCCGACGCCAGACGGCCGACACCGGCAGGCGGCCGGCGGGTCGCCGCCAGGCGTCACACTGGCAGCACGAGCTCCGGCCGGTGTCGGCGGCGTCGATGCCGTTCCGCTCCAGCGCCTCACTTCCCGCTGAACAGCTGAGTCTGAAACAGGCACGCAAGAGGCTGAGCCCTACGCTGGGCTACGCTCTGGAACAGGCGGCTACGCTGGTCAGCCCCAAGCTGGGGCACTCCGTGGGACGGGTGGACACGACCGTCGGCCCCAGGCTCGCCACGGCGTCACTTGCAGTATGCGGTGTCTGCACGCCAAGTCAGGTCTTCCGTGACCCACTACAATGGTCGTTATGTCGTTAGAGAAGGGTTTAAGGGGCCTATCGTCTACACCAACACCGACACCAAGCACTCAGCATAATTACCCACCGCTGTAAGTTCGCCCCTCCCGCATCCTCAGTCCACGCGCCGGAAAAACCTTTCATGATGTACCAGCGATCGAAACTTTAAAGGCTGTCCACTTGTGTAACGGTATTGAGTGCAAGTCTCTTCGACGCGCATTTTTCCCTGAAGTCTCGGTTGCGGTCCATTGCCCTCTTTGCCACAAACAAAGCAAAATAACTAAGCGTTATGAATGCTGACGGTGAAAAAACCAACACGGACCAGTGTTAACGCGTAAATTGACCGCCCAGCTGCGTAATGCTTTCATTCGACGCGAACGACACGTGAATGGTGAACGCTGATGGCCCGATTACCGCCGTGGGACTCGCCGCTACGAGCTCTGTGCACCTATACTGTACCGCAGCGCTTCCGTGTAAGGCGGCACCACCCAATTCGCCCGAACCGCCGGACGAACACAAAGGAAGCACGGTGCCCAGAACATCGCGATGATCAAATCAAGCCACGGTTTCCCCTGGTTTTTGTCGTATTAGACATATGGTTTCTATATAAGTAAAACGAACGTGAGGTAGAGTAAAAGCGCATGCGCATGCCATAAAAATTGCTCGATAACTCAGTCATTAAGAAGCTGAAAATATAAATATATTCACATTTTTCTTCATACTTCATTGAAATTACCGTAGCCTCTTCACACCACCTATTCTTTTTTATAAAAGCACACCGTCAAAACTTAATGCTTAACCGCACGGTTGTGATCCTTGCCTTTCTGCGCTCATGTCGGCTATGTGAAATCGCCTTATGATAAATAAGCGCTTGCCGACGGCAAAGCCAGACGAAGCATGCTCTGAAATGCCCTTAACGAGCGCTCGCGACCATTGTTGCGATCCAGTTTTAGCTAGCTGAAGCCTCTCAAAGTGGCCTCGGGCCCGCCAGAGACCGTACGCCGCCACTGGCTCCAGGCGGGAAACCTGGGCTCGCGTGCGTCCGTCGCCGTCGGCACCGGATGGCGGCTGCAGGCCTGGCCCGGCCAGAACCGCCCGAGTCATGGCTCATCAATCATTCCCAATTGCGAAAGAAGGTCCGCCGCCGTGTCGCTGCCCGCGTTGTCATGGCGACGGCGCCATTAGGCGGCGCCCGGCGCCGGCGATTCACACCTGCTGCCGGTTGGCCAGCGGTCCGGAGCCGGCCTACCAGCGGCCCGGGGCCGGTCGGCCAGCCGTCCGGAGCCGGTCGGCCAGCCGTCCCGAGCCGGTCGGCCAGCTGTCCGGAGCCGGCCTACCAGCCGTCCGGGGCCGGCTCACCAGCCGTCCGGAGCCGGTCGGCCAGCTGTCCGGAGCCGGCCTACCAGCCGTCCGGCGCCGGCTCACCAGCCGTCCGGCGCCGGCTCACCAGCCGTCCGGGGCCGCCCAGCCGTCCGGAGCCGGCCTACCAGCCGTCCGGAGCCGGCCTACCAGCCGTCCGGAGCCGGTCGGCCAGCGGTCCGGAGCCGGCCTACCAGCCGTCCGGAGCTGGCCGGCCGTCCGGAGCCGGCCGGCCGGCCATCCAGTGCCGACCGCCACCCGGCAGTTGCAGGCACCTCACGTCCGTCGTGACGTCAGATGACGGGCGGTGGAAGTCAGCGCCGCCAGAACTCTTTGATGTCGCGAGCAAACGGCAAGTGCTCATCTTTTTGCTGCCTCCTTGGTCTCAATCTCTGTCGCTTTCAATCGGCCTTTCAGCGTGTAGCTCCCAGGCAGATGGCGTCGATAAAGCGGCTTTGAGATAGGAAACTTTCCACGATTGAAGCAACGATCAAATGAGTCCACAACGAAATTCGAACAAAGCCCTCTATCACCCTGAACTGCCATTCACTGCGGGACGTAGTTTCATAACGCGTGCCATCGTGGTCACATAATTCTTCGCTAGCTGTGTCGATGCCGGAATGGATTGAAATGATAAAGATTTCACGAGGAAACAACCAAGTCTTGGCCCTTTATTGCCTTTTTGGACTCAGTCTCTGTCGCACTGTCAGCTGGCCTTTCAGGGCATGGTTGGTCGGTGTCAAAGTTCAGCACACTTACGAAGTCCCCACTCAGGTATTTCAACAGGCAACTCGAATTCGGCACAACTCATTGGTCTGGCAAGAGCGTACTACCTCACTTTTTATCGCAACATCGTGGCGTGAGAGACCTTTGAGGTGAAGAGAACGGTCGGTTCAACATAGGCGGTCCAGAGTAGCTCCGGCCCTTCCATGTCTAGCGTCCTTTCTCCGCGATAACTACACACATCACACGCGGATCGGACTTACCCGTGGCGCCAAGCAAACTGGGTTTATCGTGCAGAGCTCCAACTTCGGCGTCCAACTTATTTTCGTTATATGTCTCTCGCCCAGATGACGCCGCAGAGCAAATGCAAGACCCCGCATCGCCGTCGTCACCGCCGCTACAGAGTTGATAACTCCGAGACGCAACACCACGACAGCAAGCGTTAAAGCCGAGGCCGCGGGGCGCTTCCGCAGAGTGTCCCGACCACACACAGCCACCGCAAAGGCGGCATGCAAGACTCCGTGTTGTCAGTACCTGGTGGTGGTACCGAGAGGCAGAGGCGTTGGCCGCCACCCCAGCAGTGCCACGGTGGAGGAAACCCTCAGTGCCACAACAAAGGAGGCCCTAAGTGCCGCGGCAGAGGAAGCCAACAGCACCAAGGCAAAGGAGGCCCTCAGCGCCACGCCAGAGGAGGCCCTACGTGCCGTGGCAGAGGAATCCGACAGCACCAAGGCAGAGGAGACCCTCAGGGCCGCAGCAGAGGAGGCCTTCTGCGGCAAAGGGAGGCCTCAGTGCAACGGCATCGGGGCCTCAGTGCCGCGGCAGAAGAAGCCTTCAGTGCTGCGGCAGAGGAAGCCGACAGCACCAAGGCAGAGGAGTCCCTCAGTGCCGCGGCAGAGGAGGCCGACAGAACCAGGGCGTGGTCGATAACGTGCGGTGCGTACGGCGGCTCTCTCACCTCTGACGTCACGACCCCCCCCCCCCCCTCCACAGAAGAGAGCGGCAGGCCGGGCGGCGCCTGTCATCTGCCCTGCTCTCACAGCTGTGTTTACAGCAGGTGAATAAATGAGCAGCGCGCCGCCCGCTGCGAGCGAGCCGGCGCCGCGCGGACGGGTCGATCGACCAGGTGCGGCCGTGCAGGCGGCCGATTACGCTCGGCAGACGGCGAGCCCGGCGCGGAGGAGACGAGCGGCGCGCCCGCCGCGCCGCGCCGCCCCCCGCCAGGCACGGCGGGCGGCTGGAGAGCCGCTGCTGGGCGGCCGGCCGACCCAGCAGGGCCCGGTCGTGACGCAAGACAGCTGGCTCGTGACTGATGGCACGAGCGGCCCGGCTGTTTGCCAGGCGTCGTGTGAGCAGCAATTTAAAGGGGTGTGCGGGCCTCTGGTGTGGCAGCAGCGAACGCATTTGTTCAATGGCACCAGCTGTGTATACAACGTATGCAGCGTTTACTTATAAACTACTTTGTTGAATATCGGCGCATAGGAACATCGTCAAATTTGGGTAACTCCGGAAAAACAAGTATTCCAATGACGTCGATCATCACTTTTCATCACTGTCCTTCCCACCTCTAAAAAAAAAACTACTAAAGGAGGTGGAATGGCTGTTTCAGTGAACAGTGCTTGCTAGCAATAATTCCCATTTTGAGACATTCCTGTGTATATATAAAGCGATTCTCGCCAAAGTGTTAAGTACTCTCGGACTTCGACCAGCCCTTTGTATGTGTTTCGCGTTATAACTCAGTGTCCATGGGAAACGCTCGGAGAATGCATGTTACGTTGTCAACCTAATTGCATAAGAATACCAAGAAATCGACAAAGCACGCATGAAACTTCGCACATCGCTGATATTCTGCCGCAGTTTAGAGCACGCTGAGGCGAGCTCCTTTTTAATATTCTCTTTCAATGGGTGTAGTCCAGTCGTCGTGATGGTGCGCTACATACGCATGCAAGATAAATGTCAGCAAAGCTTACCTACGCTGATGATTATCATGGCTTCGATCCCGCTTATTCGTGCAATATGGCCCTTATAACCTGATCATGCACTATACCTGACCAACAAAGTCGGCCGTTGGCAAATGTTACACAAGCTGATTACAGTGGCGGTTTCGTCTGCACAGTTCTGGTACGGTGACATTCGTTTCAGTCAGCGGTTAGTCCAGCAGTCAACCGAATGAGCTCTAAGTGGATAACTGCCATACATAAGGGTGCACATGCATCATGTATTGTCTGCACGTTAAGACCGAATAGGGCCGGAAGGTGTCCCAAGCCTACCATAAGGAAGTTGCGGGCTCACCCGGGTTAAGTGGAAATTGAATATAACTTGGTTACGCCCGCTTTCAAAGACGCAGGACGCGACCTCGTCACCAGACGGCAGCGTCACTAGACGGCAGCGTGAGATTACGCAACAACGATATGGTAATGCCTTTTGTTAAGCGGCATGCAGCAAAATATAGCGCGCTTCTTCGTCGGGTATCATTCAGTTGACGTCTGGCCTAGTTGGTTCGAATTTCCAAAGAAAGAATTGCTCAAAGACTACTGGTATCTAGGAGATCTGCATGCGTGTTATGGAATTGGCTTAAACCTTTTGATTTGATGGATTTCTGAGATCGGTGCTCACGCTAAGAAATGCTTGTTATGTCAGCTCTGACCCCCACCATCCGATCGTGAGATCCCAGGTCAGTGGCAGAATTTTGTCGCAGAAGTTTAACGTGCCGTAAAGCTCAGAACGGTA